TAGAGATCTCCTAGAGAGAGGATGGTGGCCAAAAGAGGGTTTGTGCCAACCAAGTGATTTTGAAACAATAGGGCTGACCAATTTAGGGGAGGGTGACAGTTTGGAGAAATATAAAATTTGCTTTCAAATAAATATGAAAAAAATGAAATGGTGAGTCTATTTGTACACCCCAAAAATTCAAACAAATTTAATATCTAATGAATTACTAGCACTAAAATCGGAACTGAACATAAAAAACAAACTAATCACATAATTATCCTCCTTAATGCTTTTTGTTTTGCTTGGCTGGGGTGGGATGGAGTGATAGCCTAGTAGGCTTAAATTATCTAATGTCCTCTTTTTAGCCATTTTTTATATTTTATTAATATAGGCATGTTTAAAATATAAGATAGCAATTATGACCGACAAAGCAAAAAAATTATGTTATTGCAATATTCTTATTTCAATGGTTCACCTACATGGGAAAGAGGAGAGAGAGAGAGGTAGTTAGCATCCGTCCTATGTGATCTTTTTTGTAGCTTGGCATGCTTTAATTCCTTGCAATCGAATAGTTAATCTTGCTTTGGGAGCTTTTTAGTGAGATACATAGGAAAATGGGGCCTTTTACTTCTGAGTTGTATAATTCTGCTAAGATTCTCGTATATTGAGTCATTAATGGTATTATAAGATTAGTAAAATTTAAATGTGAACCAAGTTTTAGATTTTCAATTTAGGTTTGACAACCAACATGAAAGAACACCATACTGAGCCTGAACGCGATCCAGTAGTGATATCATATAATGAAGCTCCTTCCTTCTCTTGATAAGATTGAAGTTTTCAAACTTTTTGGCATTTGGCAGCCTCAAATTTTCATTAGATGTTTTATTTTGTATCTTGAAGAATAATTACTAATATTAAATTGGGCAATTTTTGCTGCCATAATGTCAATTTGTTGCGAAATTTGTTATACTTTGCTTAAAGTCGTGTACTTAACCAGAAGGTTGCTTCTACACTCTGATATTCTAATTTTTAGTTTTTTCTTTTATTTTTAATACTTTGACTTCACTTTTTTTATGCTTGCATGCTCATGTATATTCGTATGTTTAATGTATGTGTGTATGCATTTAGGAATATAAGTGTGCTTGCATATATAAAATTCTGCTTCTATGCTTGAATATAAGTTTATTGAGCCTTATTCGTTCTTGGTCGTCTTCTCTGGACAGCTACGCCAGCACTGCGTCGTCGCTGCTTCGCTTCCTCGTCGCACGTCGTTGTTTCTGTCACTGCCTTCTTCGCCCTCGTCGCACGTCGCTGTTACGCCGCCTGTCGTCTGCGTCGAGTGCATTCGTCCCCGGTCGCAGACTGCGTCCCGCTGCTCAGCGACAGTGAGCACGCAGTGAAGCACCGACCAAGGTGGTGGCCTCAGTGGTTCTTTCCTACGCCGCCGCCCTTGTCGGTGATAACCCCGCTCTCGCCCCTCTTTCGAATATGTTTTCGCAAAGTTACCACGATACTTTTGTTCTTGGCGTTGTAACCGGATTTCTCAAAAAAACATCCCATAAAAATGACAAACTTGAAATCTTTCTCACAGAGGCCGAGATCTCCACCCTAGCTGCGCCCTACCGACTGTTCTTAGTAGGTAAGTTTCTTTATGGAAACCCTAAACTTGAGCTAATTCGAAATGAATTTGAGCAAATGAAGCTGAAAGGGGATTGAAAGCTTGGTAAATTGGATGGTCGACACATTCTCATTCAATTATCAAATGATGCGGACTACGCTCATTTGTTTGCAAGAAGACTCCTTCGAATAGACCACCAGGTGATGAAGATTTTAAAATGGACGGTGGATTTTGACTCTCGTACTGAACCTCCTATCATTCATGTTTGGCTGCGCTTCCTAGGTTTGAAGGTCCACCTTTACGATCAAGAGCTCCTCTTCGCTTTAGCGATGGTATACGGTAAACCTCTCAAAACTGATATGCCTACAGTGAATTTGACTCGGCCTCTGAAGCCAGAATTTTGATAGAACGGGATATTACTTTGCCTTTTCCGGAAGATATATGGATTGACACACAACATCAGGGATTTTGGCAGCAAGCATAACTTGAACAGATACCTCTTTATTGCACCCACTGTCGGATGTTTGGACACTCTCTTTCTCAATGTTATCATTTGCATCCAAATCTAAAACCTAAGAGTAAAAATGCTACTGGATCTGCCCCACATCATACCTGTCCCTCTTCCGCCCCCCGAGTGCATTCCACAGACTTTTGAAACACCGGTTGACACGATGCCACCTCTCCCTCCCACTACCGAAGACAATACTGTTTTTGTTCTTCCAACTGATGTATTGGCGGATGGTTCACTTGAGCATCCTACAATCTCTATCACTGTTGAAAACAATACTGCAAGATTCTTACCTCCAAAGGATATTCTTCGGTCCGATAATCAGGATAGTATCGCAGCCCCACAACCTCAGGAAACATCAGGTGCTGAGGAGACAGATTTACAATCTCTTCAGAATGAGAATGTTGTTACTGTTAATCAGAAGCTAGGGGCTCATCCTCTTCTACACGCCCGACAATCCAGTCTTCGGATGAGGAATGACATGTATACACATCTAGGAAGAAAAAGAAGAATGGAGGCACACCCCAGCTTGGGAACTTAATGGATGATACTTTAGTAACTTCGGGTAATGACACGACACTCAGCAATTTGTTAGCTAGCTCCGTTCCTAAAACTAGAGACAGAGGCAGGACCAAGCTGGTTCGTCCCTAGCAACTGGTTTTCTGCGAGTTATGAATTTTAGAGTTTTATCTATGTTTTATCTTTTTTAGGATGTTAGTGTCTGTGTATCGTATGGGTAGGACGCCTTTATTGGGTCCTCTCATACAACCTTTATGTACATTTTCAATTTCAATAAAAAAATTAGCCTTCGGGCGTTTCAAAAAAGAAAAAAAAAAAAAACCTAGCATGACTAGAAACATATTCCAACGTGCATAAAAAATGAATTTATTTAGGGTTGCTTGGTTGCAAGTACTAAGAGTACAGTTCATTTGAAATGCAGGCGTTTTATATTTTTCTGTTTGGTTGAGATTAAAACGAAGAACAAGTATTTCTCTGAGGGGTTTTGTATATAAATAACAACTCATTTTTTTTATAAATTTGTAATCATCCGAAATAGGCAAGTTTCAAATTTAACTCCCTGCAAACATGCCTCTAAATATGTTTAAAAAAATACGCAAGCATCGTGCCAACAACCTCGGGTGTCCGCATCGTCCACCTCCCTGTTTCCCCAATTTACAGTTAGCACTTCTGAGTTTTGATACCATTACCGGCGTTGACACCATGCATGCCCAAATTTGTTAAAATTTAAAAATTATAGAAGAATATATTAATACCAAGCATATGTTTATAAGAATATGCTAACGCAAAAATTCTGATTCGTTTTACTCTCAATTAGACTAAAAAAAAAATTTGCACATTTATTTTACAACAAATCAAATAATCTTGAGTATTACAAAAGCATTGTATTTAATTTACATTGCATTTGGATTACCCATGTATTCTAAATACTTATAATCAATTAGCCCCTTTCCTAATTCTAGGTTTTTTTTTTTTTGGACCCTGGACCCCATGACATAATAATTTACATAATAATTTACATCATGCATACTTTAATTTTAACTACATTTTTGCATGAATAGTCTCTTCTATGGTATCTAGATCTGGGTATTTAGCATAAAAACTTGATCAGTTGACAATGTGTTTTAAGGTGTTTTGTTCATTTGATTGATTTTAGAAATTCTTTTCTAGAATAAAAAAAGTTCTCTCTTATTTTCTTTTGTTTTTTACATCATTAGATCCCTTGCCTACTGTTAATTGTTGAAAACTAGAACCATCTATGTAACCAATTGTTTGAGTAAACAACTTGTTTATGTGGAGGTGCCCACTAATAAATGAATTCAAAGGGGGAATTGAAACACTTTTCTTCAAACCTAATCACACCTATTTTTTTTTTATTTTAAAAAAAGTGGGTAAGGTTAACCTAGGGGCGGACCTCCCTTCCAGTCCCAAACGTCGCACCATTTGCTAATTTGAACAGCCCGTTAGAGCTGAGATTCGAACCCCCGACCCGAGGGTCTTACGCGAAGCCACCACCAATGAGCCAGGGCTTGGGCACCAAGAGAAGCCCAATATCCTATTAAGTCAAAACTTAAAGAAATCTTCATAATGCCTTATACAAATGCATGCACCACTCAAAGGATAATAAACTCAAATTTATCAAATCTTCAACCAAATGCTCCTATTTAATGGTTTTTTATTTATAAGCTATTTTCCTATGTCATATAATGGATTTAACACCTTACATGATACTCAACAGAAATGAATGAAAAATGAGGTATTCCTCTAATAGTACCAAGTGAGGTAAGGCTGCTGAAGATCATAACCAGTTTATGCACTGCTTAACTGTTTATTAATGTGAAGGGGAACATGCATACATACCACCAAATTCTTATATATTTACATTCTAACACCAAAATTTTACTTTCTACATTTGTACCACAATTCTTTCATATCTCCTAAAAAATACCTCCTTTTAAATTTTAAAAAATGAAATACACATTTTCATGCGTAAGTAAGGTGGCATATATGTAATAATTGTATTTTAGGTGTTGTATATGTAAATACATAGGAATTGAGTGGTATGTATATAAATCTTCCTTATATGAAACTTGCACTTAACCATCACAGATGTCCCTTGCTATTTATTTATGACATAATTAGATAGCTAAACATAATTTAAAATCTTTGTTATCTCATTTCATCTCTTTAGCATGCTATGCTATGCTACTCGAGTTATTGGCTTCAAACGCTTACATTACGAACATTCTGAAATCATAAAGAGTGCAATCATTTTTTATTCAAACTTTGTGTGATTTATAAGATCATAAGCAAATTCGTGAAAAAAAGGAACAAATTCTATGAGATATATTATTGTTCATTGTCTGGTCTTCCCAGGAAGGAAAGGAGGAAGTTATCCAAGCATGGTATATGGATAGCAGTGACGAAGACCAGAGGCTTGCCCATCACCATGAGCCAAAGCAATTTGTTTCTATTGACAGACTTGCAGGTTTGTAGGTGATCAAATTTCCATTTTCATAACCTTGATCAGCCGTTCGCTGTGGTGAAGTTTTGCGGCTTATTTTTTTCCTTTGTAGAACTTGGTATTATTAGCTGGCGACTAAATGCTGATGACTATGAGAATGATGAAGCGCTGAAAAAGATTCGTGAAGCTCGGGGTTACAATTACATGGTCATTGACTAAGGCCTTGTTCAAGATTTTTTTGTTTGTTTTATTTTTAATTTGTTTCTAAAAGCATATATGTTTAGTATGTTGTTTACATTGTTTAATTTTTTTGTTTCTAAAATAAATTAACATGTGTTTGAAAAGGCTCAAAACAACTTTTAAATGTTTTGAATATTTTTAAAAACAATCATGCTTTTAGGGCTTGTTTGATATCAAATTTTTGTTTTAAGTTTTTATTTTTTCTTTTATTTTTAAAATCATGTTTGTTTAGTGTGTTTTTATATGTTTTATTTTTTGTTTTTAAAGTTAAATTACATGTTTTACTTAAAACACTTGTAGGTGTTTTGAGTGTTTTTAAAAATATCATACTTTAATCAAATAGCCAAGCATATTTTGTTTTAGATCAAAAAATCAACCAAACAAAATTAAAAAAGGTAATAATAAAAATAAATATTAAATAAAAATGATCATAACTGTCAAATAGCCAAAAGTGTTTTGCTTCAAATCAAAATATAAACCAAATAACATAAAAATAGAAAGTAAAAACTTTGATAAAAAAAAACAAAAAATAAGATTGCGAATGGCTCCTAAGCTTATTCTGTTTGATTCTAAGAAGCAGAAGAAGATGCTAATATTAGAAATCTCTTTGCCATCCTATTCGCATTTTAGGACATATGTGACATTCGTCCAGAGAAACTGCCAAATTACGAAGCGAAGATCAAGAGCTTCTTTGAGGAGCATCTACACACAGATGAAGAGATCCGTTACTGCATTGCAGGAAGCGGTAAGTTTTTTCTCTTGACTTTTCTTGGCATATCTGCATTGCAGGAAACGGTAAGTTTTTTCTCTTTACTTCTCTTGGCATATATTATGTTCATTATGCTTTCATTATCTTGAATTTTCTCTTCCTTTTAAGGTTATTTTGATGTGAGGGATGAAAAGGATCAGTGGATTCGCATAGCTGTGAAGAAAGGGGGAATGATTGTTTTGCCTGCTGGAATTTACCACCGTTTTACTCTCGATACAGATAACTACATAAAGGTATAACATATTATAATGTTTGGTTTCACCATCATTGACCACGAATTAGTTTCTTTAGTAGGAGAGCTTGGCTATGAATACTTATTTATATAAACCAAGAAGTGCTTTTGGTTATCTGGTGAGACAAGAGACAAGAGACAAGGGCTGCCCGCTTTAAAATTTGAGGATTTTTATATAAATAATAAAATTTAGTAATTTTCTTATATAGTTTAGGCAATTTAGTAATTTTAGCCCTCCTGGATACATTTTTTTGTTCAATATCTGAAAAAAATTAAATATTTGGTGATTTTGCCTACCCTAAAAAATAAAAGTAGTCCGCTATTGGCCCTAATATTTACTCCATTATAAGGATTTTGCGTATATATTAAAACTAGAACTTTGGAAAAATTTTAACTATTATTCGATCGATACTATAGATATGGCTCCTAAGAGTAGCTTAGATTTTTCAGAAGTGGTTGGATCTTATAATTTCATTACTAAGTTGAAGTATGGGAAGTTGATAAAAGCAAGCTCTTATTTTTGGAGCTTAGCTCTTTATGTAAGCATCGCGTTCAATGATGAGAGCTTGAAAGCCAATTTATTTTGCTTTTGCAGTTTACAATAAGAAAATAATTTAGTCAATGTAAGTAGTGTCATTTAGGTTGTTAGGGAGCAATAAAAATATTGGGTCATTTACATACGTAGCACACGATCATCATGTATTTACATATCTCACGCCTAAACCGTCATATTAACATTTATAAAACTCAAATCTTTAATATCGCATAAAATAAACACTATTATCATTTTTTAAAAGTGAAATATACCTTGTCATGTAAAAGTTTAAAACACCGAAGAGCTATGTATGTAAATATGAAAATTTAGGTGTGAGGTATGTAAATACAGAAGAATTGTGTGTTATGTGTGTAGATTTCGTTAAAATTATCTGAATCAGTCTCTGATTGTATAAGTAATTAATGCTAGATTGATTATCATTCGAATGATAAATTAGAATAATTTATTAGACTGAATACAGATAATGTAAGTTTATTATTTATTTTAAATATTCAGCATCTCAATCATCATTGTCATCATAATTGTAAGCCTTACACCAACTTTTAAGGTCAGCTTTATGAATCTACATTATCCGTCAATCTCTATTTTTAATTTTTTAGGAAAGATTGTAATAATGAATTAGGATTTTGTTGCAGAATAATTAAGTAATTTGCATTATTAATTATGGTATGATTACTATTTAATTGAAAATAGAATAATTAATCTGACCATTTAGAGATTATTTAGGATAATTATTTATTTTAAATATTCATATACATAATCTTCAATATTATCATCATCATTATCTTTATCCTAACCATTTGGGTTAACTTTTTGAGTTTTCCTTGTCGATTGATTCCTATTGAATGTTAACTAGGATTAAACAGTTAAGATATTAAATTAATTAAGGATTATTTACCGTTTCATTAATTAATGATTAGGATACGTGATTATTCTTATCAGTCCTGGTAGATTTATTAACTATATTTATCATAATAATTATTATTATTTTATTCATTATTATAATTATCTTAATGTAGGATCAGTTTTTCTAATCTTTTTTTTTTCTCTATTAATCCTAGTGAATGTTGTGCTAGATTTAAACATTTTTTTTTCACTACTTACATATCCATGTTATCGTATTTAATTTAAAATTTAATTAGGTTAATTTACCAGAGATTGAATATAGTGAGATATTAAACAAATCTAATTAGTTAAATTATTTAAATGTTTCATGTTAATTAATGGTATGTTAATTGGCTATCCTATTCAGTCCTGATAGATCAATCAATTGGTAGATTTGGATAATTATGGATTGATTACCCAACAATTTCTTAATTAATTGATGAACCTGACAATTAATTGTTAGATAATTCATTTAATCATAATTTTTTTTTAATTTGAGCTTGTTTGTATTGATGATTGTGATTGTGATATTAAGTTATCTGATTATTGAAGATAATAAGTCATTATCTTTTGCTAATAAATTAGTTATATTTCATATGATTAAATAGTAATTATTATTCTAAGCTGACGTAGCATTACTCACCTCCCTAAAGACACCTTGTCCTCAGGATGGAAGAGAGAAAATTATTGCTAGATCCTGTCATATGATTCCCCACCTAGCGTCATCATTTAACAATCCTTTCCATGTTTAGGGGCCCTTATGAGTTCTAAGTGCAGTATTGTCCATATCTTTCCACCGCATCCGAATATGGTGGTACCCTAACTTCAAATCAATTTAAGAGAATACTACAACCCCAAACAATTTATCCAGTCGCTCATCCATCACTAAAATCTCTGCCAACTCATGCCATGCCTGAATTGACCTCACCATGGACTCGAGAATCACCAAATTCTTGAATCAAGGATCTCAGCCTTGTATCATGAATTGACCTCACCATGGTCTTGAGCATCACCACATTCTTGTATAATTGTGGCCTTCATGAAGCATTATCATCTTGTTTCCCTCTTGAATACTCTGTAGCGTCAAAATCAGACCCTTACAAACTCTCTTACTCTTCTCAACCTATCTCATTCCAATCATTACTTCTGAATCGCTTTTCTCCCAATAGCCTGCCACAACAAAGGACAATGTCGTTGTTGGATGCAAACCTACGTCGCGGTCCCACCCACCATGATTCCTTGTTCCAGGATGTATCCTTTGAGCGATCTTCTCTGGCCTTAAATCACACGTCATCTTGTTTCGCCTGTTGCCACTCGTTCCAAACCTTCAGATGTTGTGCAATTCCTTCCAGCTGCTGCCATTTAAATCCGCTCCTTACTCCTCTTAGTCCCGCCTGCTTTAATTTGTTCTAGTCGTCTGGATGTCACAGTATTCCTTTCAAGTGTTGTTACTTGAGTTCGTTCCCAATTTCCGCACTGACTTCAAATCCACCTACAGTAACTATGTTCCTTGATGCCGCTCAAATCCCTTTGATTGTTGTGTTTTGTGTCTGCTCCACATGCCGACACTTAATCCCTTGGTAGACAGTTTTTTGTGAAATTCCACAATCTTCTTCATCATTTCTTCTAGAGTCGCAAATTTCACTTTGAACCGAGTGAACCGTCTTACCATGGACAAGAAATGCTTATTCATTACTGATCAGATTTAACATACCCGTTCTTTCAATTTCTCCTCCAAAGCATCTAATTTTTTTGCTTCTATTACTCTTTAAAGTTTTTATCACAAAGGTGGAACTCTTTTACACTAAGATCCCGTTGATGGCTTCTCGGCTAGCTTGAATTGCAACAGTATCATGATATTAGATCAATATAAATCGCGATCCCATCTTTTGCACACAAATTGGGATTTATTATTGCTCTGTACGTGACAATTTAGTTGTTTGCTTCCCTTCCTCATTGTCTCATATCGTGACTGTATCACGCAGTTCGGTAATGATGAAGCGCCAAACAATTAGGTCATGCCTCGGTACGTCGCGATCTCGCATGCTTCCTCAAATTGTGACTGTTTCACATAGTTCAATCACGAACGCGAAAGAAACATGTACATTGCAATTTTGTAGGCTTCTAGAATGCTTCCAGGATCGAGAGACATGTTGGGAGCCTGACATCTCGATGATTTCAGCGAGGATAGGAAGGTGTGGCGGTGCGTCAATGCTCTGATACCAATTTGATACGAATTAAGATGATTTTTCCATAAAAATCAGGACAAACAAATATTCTTCTTCATTAAATTAAAACAATACAACTCAAATACATAAAGATAAGCACCTACAATTCGAGAGGCAGACGATCTCTTCCAACACCTACAATTCAAGAGGTAGTCGATCTCTCCCAAACCCAAAATCTAGGAATCAAGACCACAATCTCATGTATGCCCTAACCCTAACCTATTAAGCCCTATTCATACCAAAGAATAATAAATAACAAAAGAATAAATTGCCCGTAAGCTCCGGCTTAACAATTTACCCGACACTTTTTGTTGAACCTCACTCCTTTTACTTTTCTCCCTCCACTTTCATACATCCATGTTAAAATAAACTTCCCTTATGAGAAGAGTTGTTAAGAGGAATAATGTTTGTGCCCACCACCTTTTTCGATGGTTTCATGAGCAACTCAGTCGTTGCTTGAGCAATTTTCGCATGATATTTGATCCTCTTTCTAACCAAAATATATCCTTTCTCAGGCATTGCGGCTTTTTGTTGGCGAGCCCGTGTGGACTCCATACAACCGACCCCATGATCATCTCCCTGCAAGGTAAAACAAGCCTTCTTTTCATCGTAAAGTACAGAGACTCATTGTGTAGCTGCTTCTAGTGCTAATAATTGTTTTCATATGGCAGGATTGATTATGTTGATGCTTTTATAAATAAGGCAGCTGTTAGCCATGCTGTGGAGGCACTCTGAGCACATTTGCCTTATCTCTATCTTATCTTTGTTACTGGAATGCATGTCTATACTCTTATGGCCTAGGTGGTGTTTTATGATGTTTTGAGTCGCGTTCCTAAAATAAGAACTTTGGTTGTGAAGCCAAGTGCTTATGTGGATCTGAGTTTATCCGAAAAAGAAATTTGCAGCTGTTAAACGCTACTGATATGATGCTATCGTGTTCAATAAAATTTGACTAATCTGCCTTTAATGATTGCTATTGCCTTGCCTGTTCAACTAATATTTATGTAAAACTGAGTTTTATTCTCAGTGTATGGAGAAAATGTTATGCGCGGCAGGCCGTATGTTCGGGCGACGATCTTGATGTGATCACACTGCCGTGTATCGCATGGCGGCTCAACTGAATCGTCCTCAGGAACATGACAACTCATCTGGATTGTTGTTCGGAAGTGCAATTGCCGTGCCTAATATTTGCTCCAGTGTATGAGACTACTATTTGTCGAAGAAAGAAAGATGGCTTATTTGATGCTTTTTTGTTCAATAAAATTTGAATGATCTGTTCTATATGATTGGCATATTTTTTTTAATAGGAATGAATCTCTGGAGCTAGGGTTGTCAAAACGGCTCGTTGTTCGTGAACAGCTCGTGTTCAACTCGTTAAGAAGCTCGTGTTCGGCTTGTTAATTTCGTTCGATAAGTTAACGAGTCGAACACGAACTAAGATGTGTTCATTCGTGTTCGGCTCGTTTTGGCTTGAAATACTACTCATCAAGTTTATATATATAGTTTTGGCTTGAAATACTACTTATCACGTTTTTATATATATATATATATATGT